GGATAACATTTATATCGAATTACGTGCACACTGCACATCATAACTTGCACATTACTGGCCTGTATCACTTGTCACGGAGACTCCTTCAACGTTTTGTAATGTGGTACATGCCCTACTAGATTGATGAATTTAATAGATTACAAACATACGGTGTGTGCATAAGAAATCCAGTCAGCGTCCATCAGTACGGAACTAAACAAATCATCAAGATAAACATTATAATACCCGAGCCGGACAGGTAACTATGCCCCGCCCCCTCCTCTCCATAGTAGAAAAGAGTAGAGGAGATAAGGATCTTTGTTTTCTTCAGCCAATCTACTCTGCCTATAGTTTAGCCCGTAGAAACCAGATCGTGTGTTAACTGAATCGCCACCGTGCACTACTCATATGCTGTGAATTGCACCATAACACTGCAAGCGAAGTGTCAGTGTTCAGAGCCTGTGTGGATATTGTCGATTACATCTCCTACCTACTCTTCATAAGTTGCCACTATCCTTAACCTGGCACTATCCTATGATATGGCTATTATCTATTATGTTAGGCGCAGCTAACAAAACTTGGCACTATCCTATCATACGGCTAATATGTTAGGTGCAGCTAACAGAACCTAGCACTATACTATGATATGGCTAATATGTTAGACGTAGCTAATTAAACCTGGCACTATCTTATCACATGGCACAATGAGATTTTTATACATTTATTCCAATGAGGGCTATCGTTTTAGCGCTCACCAGTTAGCGCCACTGTAGAGTAAGGTCCTGTCACTTGCTAGTAGCGAAGACAGTGGCACCAACTGGTGAGCGCTAAAGTGGTAAGAGGACCATCGCATTTGCACTCATCAAGATGGCGCCACTGTAGAGTAAGGTCCTGTCAATCGCCAGGGGTGCCAACTGTTAAGTATAAAAACGATAGCCCTCATTGTAACAAAGACGTGTTGCGAACTTTTTGGCTACTTTGGGTGGTGTCACGAACTACATAACGCTGACTGTACCATCGATCTTCAATTGTCATCTCAAATAAACTCCATGCTATGTTATTTTGTCAGCTGTTTATTATCTATCCCAAGGCAATTGAAACGGCCGGAAATGAGGTAGACATCTTGAATTGAGCCTATTACGGATAAAAGGTGGATAATGTGTAATGCACGGACCTATTTGTTGGCTCAATTGGCACTTGGATTCACGTTTGTTTATGGTCATTTCTACTGGCTGGTTTCTGGTGGGGGGTAGTGCAGGGCCAGACCTACCATATGGCTTTTTGGGCTTCAGCCCAGGGCCCCGTGGATTCAAAGGCCCCCAGTTAAATCAAATCCAATATTTTATTGTCTTATTTTTTTTATACTTTAAGTAATTAAGTTGGCCCCTAAGTAGTTAGCCCAGGGCCCCCTAAACTCACGGTCCAGCCCTGGGGTATTGGTAGGTTTACAAATATAAGTAGTTCAGATATAAAATAACTGCATATAAAAAAAAATTCTACTTATTACTATACGTACGGGCTCATATAATATGTGTATACAAACTAGAAGCTTATTCACAAACGATGCTTGCTTAAGGGAAGCAGCAACGCTATGCGAAGTCGAACGCACAGCGTTGAATAGAGTTCTGTGATTGGTTGTTGTGTGTCACTCCGCCACTCACATAAGCTTATTGTCTATGAATAGGTTTTTGGGACCCTGTGCCTCCACGCGCACTGTGAGACCTCATATTGTTTGTGAATACGGGTGTAAGTAAGCCTGTAGTGAAGTGACATAATACACATGTTTGTACTCAAGTAGGTATTTGTGACAATAGTATACCGCGGCCTACAATTAGATACGGCAAATAAAATTATATTTAGACACAAACAAGATGAGGTACAGTTGTCATGAAAACATACACAGACCTATTGTGACAGTTTGTGGAAGTTACTTTACAGACAGACGTAAGTCAACATGTGCCACTTTTGATGTTGACTGTACATATTAACGCAAGATGATGATTTGTATAATAAAATTATTTGCACCGTTGTTTGTAATTATAATATTTATACGGTCTATTAAATTATTTGTACCTAAGTGGAAAGTCAATGCATCTCTTTTCTAACGTTTTCTAGCTACAATGACTAAGGCTGAGTTGCACGGTGCAACTCAGCCTTAGTCATTGTAGCTAGAAAGCTAGAAAAAGTGGTGCAGCACCAGTTTATTTTAACTGTGACTATAACAATAACCGGTGCTTTTTGTATGAAGTTTGACAGATTTCTGACGTTTGTCAAAGTTAAAATAAGATGGCGCAACTCAGACTAAGTTTCATGAGATTTGGTAAATTTCAGTTTGTTTTTCAGAGTAAAGGCTGATTTACACGTATTAAGGTAGTCAAGTAAGGTAGGTAACTTTTTAACTTAATTTTAAGTGATTAATTGCATGTCACAGAATTTAGTACCAAGTCCTGATTACATGCAATTTGATCACTTAAAATTAAATTAAAATTTCCTTACTTAATTAACAAATTAATACGTGTAAATCAGCCTTAAGAAATCAGACAATTACAATCTATTTGATCAATTGATGATCAAATCGATTGTATTTGTCAGATTCAGTTATGTATGCAGTGTAAAGTTATGAATCAGAAGTTACTCTACAGTAATTACTGAACAAAAATTACCGTAACGAAAATACATAAACGTTTCTTATGAAACAGTGACTGTAAAACTGAGTCTTTGACTATGAATTTTATTATTATTACTCGTATAGATGAAGTATAGACAAAATTCTAGACATTAACTTAAGTAGAGCTAGGTTTGGAGCTAGGTCTCGGCACGTGCATAATATTTTATCACATACATCTATGTCAGACCCGGTTTGCCACGTTATGGTCGTTAGCCTTCTAAAATATTATTTCAATTGAACTAGCATAACCTGAATATGGCTAGGAATTTATTAAGCCAGTAGATTTACAAAAAAAGCTGTTTATACAGAAACGCAATTTTAAATATTATCAAGGACTTGTGTACAGTCAGCGTGAAGTAGTTCGTTACGCCCAAAGTAGCCAATAGTTCGCAACACGTCTTTGTTACTTCCAAGTAACAAGTACAATAAGGTGGTGTTGACAACTTTTTTGTCACTTTGGGTGTCACGAAATATTTGCCGCTGACTGTACATTAAAATAATGATGTAATATTTCTAGCAGTTAGACCAGTCTTTAGGCAGACGTAAAAAATATACCTAGATTTTATTGATGACTTAAAACTTTCTAGAAAACGGAACTCAACGGTTAGTTTGTTCGTCTGTCACACACAAGCAATTTTCACCTTCTAATTGATGCAAAGAAGTAGCTCAATGACTTAAAAAGGACGTGTACTATAAATAGTCAAATGAACCAAAGGAGTACACCTAGAGGTGGAAACCACAAAAAAGCAAAAAGAGCATAAGTCGAAAACTTTCAAAAAAATTTAGTATTTACTTAGTAACAGTACAAAATATGTTTATATACATATAACGTACTTAGTAGTATGATTGAATCACAAAAGAGCAGAACTCGAGAACTTAAAAAAATAACACTTATAGCCTGACCAGGAACATAAAAACCCTGGCATAGAGGCGCTTCAATTGCATTTGATAGTGCAACACTGAGTACAGTCGTACCTGTGTTAAATTAATAGGCTAACTTTATGTATCAGGATTCAGGATTACGGGCTAATTTGATATTTTCATAAATTAACGAAAAAATATTATTATAGGTAACCTGATTTAAATAAATTAAATGAAACCATCAATCGAGCTAGTAGATTTATTTTATTATTCATCAATAATCAAATTCAGAACTTGAATATTCAACTGCAATGTCTGCTCATGAACGCTTCAAACTCGGTACTTCTTTCCCAATCCCATAAAATTCAACACTTAGAAAGTGACAAAATTTTTAAAATAGGTAGTTGAAACAAACCACAGCTAATTTTCATAGTGGACTGTACTATACGATAAACATGTCAGTCAATTTGACAACCTTTGTCGGAAACATTATTCAATGAAAATATTGTCCGAACCCTTAGTATTTCTCTTCGACAAATACTTTAACACATTGTGAACCACTTTTCTTTCACGACTATAAAAATATTTTAGCAATTTAATTCATAAAACCAATTGCGCACATTTAAAATAAAGTTTGTTTACACTTTGACAGCAATAGACTGACATGCAAGGTGACATGTCAATGAAGTTTTCAGTTACTGTTGCCATTAAAAGAAATTAGTACCATTAGTTTTCCGCAACATGGCGAGGGTTTTTATGTTCCTGGTCAGGCTATAAATAGGATATGAACTGGGCAGGGTATGATTGAAGATTATGAATGGCTGAACATTATGCACTGACACTTCAAAAATGTACCTAAAGAAAATACTTATTGTAACCCTGTTTTATGCAAATAAATATATTTTTATTATTGTTGTAATTTGATGACGCTCTTAATCTGAATTTCAGCTTGACACACTTTTTAAAAACATCCTGTATTTTGCATTACTTTGGTTTCATGTAATGTGTAAATATACTCCAGAATGCAATTACAAATTACTACAAACAATAAATAAAGGCAATGTTTGCAACATTGTTTGCTGTATAAATCTTTGTATAAATGTCGTTCTTCACTTTTACTAGGTTTAAAAATGCATTGTTTATATTTTTACTTTTGCATGGTGACTCAAAAAATATTTTTTTAATGTATGAAAAAAATACATAGACGTGTGCTCCACTTATAAAAAAATGTGTTATCACAATAAAAAAAAACTGTCGCAAACTATTTTTCAAAATCATAAATATTCTTAGTTTTAGGGATTTAAAACTATATCTCCTGCAAAGATAACGTTACAAAATATTATTTAAATCAATTAATCAATCCTGAAGTCCCAGACTTCCGTTTTAGATAACAAAATACGGAAGCAAATATGTCTTCGAATTACCTAAAGCTAATCACTGTTAATTAAATTAATTAAGATTTTAAAAAACTTACGGTAAATCCGATACTTACAGGTAAAAATGAGGAGTCCATCCACGACTACTTTTCTCAGGATGTGTATGGAGATTTCGTCTTTCGACATGTTTGTTAGTTTGTTTGTTTGTTCGTGTGCACAGCAAGAGCGTCGGCGATGCTCTGATGTAATCTCCTGTCGTACTCTGCCTTTTGTACGGATTGTAATCGAGAGACGACATGGATGTGGTATGGAATGGAGAAGGCAAAAGGCAAGATGGATGACACGTGATTTGGAATTTAATTCGTAGATTAGTTTCGGTGTTGCTTGTGGATGAGATGACAATGGGTAATTAACGGATATTGATGAGTCCGAAAGTTATCAAGGTTATTTGTCTTTTGTTTATTGATATTTTTGTATCCCTTACCTCGGGAAAGAACATTGTCTAATTTACTTACCTACACACATTGACTTACTTTTACTTCGCTCTTATTTCTTTTACATTTTGCGTCTACATCCAGCGCCTTCCTGCTACCTTTATCAGGTCATCGGGTCACCTTGTGGGTGGACGTACCACGCTGGGTTTTCCGGTACGTGGCCTCCACTCCAGAACCTTGCTGCCCCATCGGCCGTCAGGCCGCTACCAACCGTGCGATGTGGAAGTCATTGTGGGAGGCCTATGTTCAACAGTGGACGTCCTGTAGCTGAAATGATGATGATGATGATTTTGTGTCGTTGACCACTCAGAACTTTTTAGTTCTTTCGTCTCACCAGGAACTTTCATTTTTTATACTCAACTAGCGGCCGCCCGCGACTTCGTACGCGTGGATCCTGTTTTACCCCCTTTTCCCGAATTTTCTTTGCTATAAACCTCACGGAGCCCGAGACCTTTCCAACGAATGCAAAACCGTGGAAATCGGTTCGTGCGTTCTGGAGTTATAGCGTCAGGGAGGAAAACCGGACTTATTTTTATATAGTAGATTGGACACTTTTCAATGAAAGAAATAATTGTAAAAATCATATTTTCTGAAAAAAAACTGCCGCCTCCAATCCACGTTCTCTTCATAGCTCCGTGTAGTCCGATTGATTCACCCGCTCCCCCCGGGCGGCCGATAAAGAAGTGTAGTAAACACATAGTTAAATTACGATTGATAACTTCTATCTAATCGCCATGAAGATGCAGCGTGGATGCCGAGTGGATGGGATTAGGACGGCCTCAGAAAATTATGAGACAAATTAAATAATTAAATAAAAAAGTAAGCACCTAATGTGCTTGAGTTATTTCAATTTCTAGCAGTCAATCGAAATCGGGACCGGGGAGTAGTCCGTTTAGAATTGCCTTTAAAGTTTAAATATTATTTACTTATTATTTTACTACAAAAACATCGAATCGTAAATTGGGAAACTACGACCGGCTCTGACACTAAGCTGTCCATACTTTTTTTTCCCTTGGGAATTTGATTTCTTTATCCCCCCTTTGATTGATTAATTTTTATATGGAGAAAATAAGATTATAACAATCTTCTTCTTCTCAGTCGGTAGTCGGTACACTCTTGCCAGAGTAGTCGTGGTCATCATTGTGAATTATGATGAGTGATGTTCCTTGCAATACGGACGGCGCCAACTAATTGCTCGGTTAACGAAAGTGCCCGGAAAGCTGTACCTACTCCGTGAGAAAACATAAGAATACAAATTGAAGAATAGTTACTCTTAACAGGGCTCAAGGATAATATTATAGATTCCTAGAGTCTAGGTAGATTCTACATTACAGATACCATGTTTTGGAGTAGTGGTTGAACTCGACTAATATGATGGGAGAGAGAGGTATGCAGTTCCGTCCCGGCATTAATATGTTAAGAATAACTTTTTGTATAAGTCTGAGTGTTCTTATATAGGAATGTAAGGGTGAATATCAACAAACTCGATTTTTGCCTAATTCCGGTGGCGAATTTTAATTTCCACTTTCCAAAACCTTTTTGTGGCAGAAATAATAGTAAATAACTTGTATTATTCAATGATATGGTAGAGATAAAAATATTATTAATACTTCTCGAGATATGTTAATTTAAAATTATCAAGAGCCACCGACATTGTATTTGAGCCACCGGAATTAAGAACCAATCCACCGAAATTTATTTATACAGCGGAATTCGGAATGTTATGGATGATTGTCTCAAATTACTTATTTATTTGTAATCAATTCAGTATTATTATCCAGTAAAGATGTTTATAATTAAAAACAATATTCAGGCCTGTGTTGTGACCCTAAAAAAGCATCAGATCTTCCCATGTGAGTCGTAAGAGCCGACTAAGCAATCAAAATACTGGAGGGTGGGCTGCAGCATCTTTCCAGGTATTATACTACCATACTGGAACTACCAACCAGCCTGCTAAGCATGGCGATAACGGCAAAATCCCTCCATAGATAACAAATCCAAAACTTTCTGGCTCTAGTCGCCAACAGCCCCGTTATTCTAGACTCATCACAAAGACATGACCCTCCAACCCAGAAACCAACTCTAGTCCCGGGAGGGCGACCAACTGCCCCAGGTTGGTGTTAGGTTTATCTTCCATAAGTAAAAATGTTGGTCCAGGCTAGCCAAGTTTTCATGATGGTATCATACCTATCCTACACTCAGAATTACGCAACTAATTATTCGCTAAAGACCATGCGAACTGGAGATTAAGTATGAAGATATTTCTAGATCTATACCAGCTACTGAACTAACACATTACATATTTGTGAGCTAAATGAAAGTAGTACAATTAAGAAACGGAGGACTAAATTCAGCCAGCCTAATGGCTCTCCATTTACAGTTACAGTAAAAGCGTACTGAGCTGCACCCTAATAGTACTGCAAAAATCAAAATATAGTAATCATTTTTAGACGAGCAAGCAATTTAATCACATGTGTATTCTCCAATCACCACACAGCTTATGACCGCAGTCTATGGAGGAACACTATCTGCGGTCGCGATCCTCACCAGTGAGGGACCGAGGAAGAAGAAGAAGTGATCACCGAAATAGAAGAATGCCGAATAAAAGATGCTCAAAAGATGTCGACTGATGAAGTCTAAGACACGACCAGTGCCAATCCAGCTCCAAAATCCCAAGAATTTTCAGCTCGAGTGGCAGAATAGATTGCAACCTACGAGACTAGGGAAATTTTAGCTGTTTCAGTACTATTCTCATCTGTTTTTAAGATTCTGCTTAGTATCGATGTATAAATAGCTATCCAAGTCCTCACGCTGATACAAGTGCATTATAGAGACGATTTTTTGTAATACATCGAAAGTATGTATTTGCGAGGACCAAATTGAATATAACAACATGAATAACAAGGATAGCAGAACCATTTTGGTAAATGCCTAAGCTGCTAGGAGAGTTTAAGAAGCACTACTAGTAATTAGGCTGAAGATCGAGATTATCCCGACACTTTAGCGAAGACATCCTAGACTTAAGCTTGAGCGAGATTAGAATGCCCTATTAAAAACAACAAGGTATGAACCAGGAGATAATGAAATCACAACTGAGCTTATGAAATCAGTGATCGCTTACTATGGGCCTCATAAGAAGGCTCACGGTCACCCAAAGGGCGATGGAGCGGGCTATGCTCGGAGTTTTCCTGCGTGATCGAATCAGAAGTGAGGAGATCCGCAGGAGAACCAAAGTAACCGACATAGCTCGCAGAATTGCTATAATCAAGTGCCAGTGGGCGGGGTACATAGCTCGTAGAGACGATGGCCGTTAGGGCAGGAAAGTTCTCGAGTGGCGACCACGGACTGGAAGACGTAGCGTAGGCAGGCCTACTAGGTGGACCGACGATCTGGTAAAGGTCGCGGGAAGAGCCTGGATGCGGGCAGCGCAGGATCGTTCATTATGGAAAACCTTGGGGGAGGCCTTTGTCCAGCAGTGGACGTCATTTGCCTGAAACGAACGAACGAACATGCAACTTCTGAAGTATTTGTATGAAAACTTCATCATATCAGCCCTCCCCCAAGATCACAACTCGAAACTTATCTGATTGCTGTGAGGGTTCAGAGTTGGAGACACTGTAATCTCTTAAAGTCTTCACTACCTCCCACTTAGAGGTTTTCAAGCTTCTGAGCTAGACCGAGCTCAGTATCAAGATACGGCGAGTATATCACACAACTTCGATTAACTGACGATATTGTAGTTATGACTGAGACCTTAGTAGACCTAGGTACAATGCTCCAGAGCCAATAAGACCAATCCTGGCAATAGATTTGCCACCGGAGCCACCGAAATTGCGCCACCGGAATTAAAAAACTATAACAAAATTCAAATTATAAAGAAAACTATAATTCTGATCAATAATTTCTGTATGCAGATACAACAAAACACCAAACTTTAATCATGTTAAAGAATCGTTTAGCATCTAAGTAAGTAGCTTTCACTCATACACTTGTCAGCGAAATTGAAAAATTTTGTATTCCTGTGCCGCTGATACAAATATTTACTGGTCTGCTGGAAAAACAATACCACATGTCGCAAGTCTTTATAGCCCGATCAGGAGGACACAGCTGTGTGATGCAGGGAAGAAGAACTCTGCGTCTCTCAAAGCTTCTTTGGAGATGTAAGAGAGTGTCGAAATTGAGCCACTGTAATTGCTTTTTTTCGTGGGACAGTTTTGAAAAGCTATTTAAAATACTTAAATTATGAAATATCACATTGCTTTCATATCATTTGGAAGTCTTATTTAATGTATTTTATGGCTATACTATTCTTAAATTACTAGAATCTCCGAGAAAGAAGGAATAACACAATTTATGAGTAGAAATAGAGTTAGGACACGCCACCGCTATTAGATTTTGGGTGTTTGAAAATTTTTTTAGTACATAAAATAACTACCTATTGTCCTGAAGACTTTGCTATCATGTAAAACGCTGTTTAAACTATATACAGAAAAAAAATCATCGCTCTAGTTACATTTCTCCCATCGATTCTCAGCTCCGCCGCGTAATAAACGTGCTTGGGATATTCACCCGTAACATTCAGGTAGATAATATGTCTATGCTGTGGTCTGAACTCATTGCACAAGCTTTGATTGTTTTTTTTAGGCGTGTCTAAGCATACCTATAATTTATCTTAATGTAAAAAGCATTCACAAACATTATCCTTTTCGACATAATGTTGTAACTAATTAGTTA